ATTCCGTCAGTGGTGTGCACTCTCTGTGGCTCTCATTGTCTGTCAGTTTGCGATCACAAGTGATTTGATGTGAAAATGAATACCAAAATAAAGTGTTATTAATATTTGTATATCGTATCCAAGAATCGGTGAACAAATCACTCTTCGGTTGCCGTCGACTGTGTTTGCGATTGTCATCCATTGAGTGCTGCAAACGGTGGCAATGCGTCCGATGTTCACGAGTCAGCCCATGTGCTCATATGGAGGCCATTCGCCGCAAACACCGCTGCCCTCCTCCGAACCCCTTTACCCCAACCCCTCCCTCATGTCTCACCCGCACCCACACCCGCCTCTCATCACACATCCACCGCATACTCCGCACACGCCGTACGGACAGCCAGACTATCGCGTCTACGAAATCAATAAACGACTCCAACAACGATCTGAAGTAAGACAACCATTTGATTACACCATTCATTTGATCCATTCATTGATCCGTTTGTGTATCCCATATGACAGCTGTTTGTGAACCAAGAGAGCGACAATCTATGGTGGGATGCGTTCGCCACTGAGTTCTTCGAAGACGACGCCACTCTTACGCTCACCTTTTGCTTAGAAGACGGACCCAAACGATACAGTAATTGATTTTTAATCATTCATTTTCATACACTCTTTGCCTATCATTGCACTAACACTCTGTGTCTCTCTGTTTGTGTGCAGCGATCGGTCGGACTTTGATTCCGCGATACTTCAGGAGTATCTTCGAGGGCGGCGTAACTGAGCTGTCGTTTAATCTGAAGCGTCCGAAGGAGTCGTTTCATCAGTCGTCGCTCACTCTGGACTGCGACCAGTGCTCTGTTGTCACACATCACGGCAAACACTATAACAAGGTATCCATCAATACCTATACCCAAACACATGACAACTGCTCATTACTGTACCTCACATTTATTTTGCTATCATTTGTCTCTCTTTGAGTGATATTATTATGTTTTTATGCATTTATTTTGTGATTTAATTTAATTGTCTGTTATTTAAATTACGAAAGAAGTGACCGAAAGATGAATTATTTTTGCCTGATTTTTGTGGTATTATTTTTTCAATGCGAATAAATCGATGCCTGAAATGCAAACTCTATTTCCATGGAAACGGAGTCTCAGAGAGGAGAGCGGAGTATCGATTTAATGGTCGGGTAGTCATAGCGATGGCTCACCTCTCGCAGAGCCAATGCATAGCTTATGTTGAGAGAGAAGTCACTTCTGCTTTCGCTTTCACTTTGCATTCAAAATAACTTTTTCTTATTTTTTCCGAATCTTTTTTATCGATTTATTTCACACGAAATTAAATATTTTCTCTTATATTGAAATTAATTGTCTTTTTGGACCAAAATTAACGCAATGTTTGCTTTGTATGACACGACTTTGGTATAGCCAATGGGTCCATACCCTCCGCCACCCAATGACCCAATCAAAGAGCAATTAGCGAAAGATAATTCAGTAGTGGTTTGCACTGAAGGCCGGCTTATATTAGAGTTCACTTTCGATGACTTAATGCGAATAAAGTCGTGGCATTTCGCGACCCGACATCACCAGGAGTTGATTCCTAGAGGCATAGTTGCAATGCAGGCACAACAGGACCCCACTATTCTCGAACAGATGTCCAAAAACATTACCCGTCAGGGGCTGACCAACTCTACACTGAATTATTTAAGGGTATGAATCATCAGTCATAGTGTGGCCAACAATTGAATTGACTGTATTGTCTTGTATTGTCAGCTCTGCGTTATATTAGAGCCGATGCAGGAACTCATGTCAAGACATAAGGCATACTCTTTAACCCCAAGAGATTGTCTGAAGACAACGCTGTTTCAGAAATGGCAGCGAATGGTCGCTCCGCCCGAAGCGTCGCGACCGCCGAGTAAGCGAAGGAAACGAAAGTCGTCGACGAATAACGGGACGACTGGCGGCGCCGGCAAGAAGAAGAACAACGCGGCGAACATGAGTCCCGGACCCCCAAACTTCACGCTCGCCTCTCAGGTTTGCGTTTTTTGACCGCTATTTTGATAACATATGGCGACAAATATTGATAATTGTTTGTTAGGATGTGATGGTAGTCGGAGAACCATCTCTGATGGGCGGCGAGTTTGGCGATGAAGACGAGAGACTCATTACAAGACTGGGTATGTTTAGCACAGGTTGTTGTGGTTGTAACCACTTTACAAATGCTTGTCAAATGCAATATAATAACACTATTGTATGTAATAGAAAACAACCAATATGATCCGAGCGCATCCAACGCCGCAAACGGACTCGAAGACAACGATGAGTTTGCGTCGATGGGTGCGCCAGGAGGCGGGCCCTCTGGCAACGGTCCGCCGCCCGGTTGGCCCAACGGACCGAACGCCGGTCCACCCGGTGGTCCCAACTCAGGTCCTCCGTTATCGGAGCGGTCATCAGTTGGCGGCGGCGGTAACAACGGTCACACACCTCACGGCCCCGGCTCTCAAGACGATAACAAAAAGCAATCACCGAATATAAGTCAATAAAGATCTGAAGAATGAATAGTTTTTTCACAAATTATATAAATATTATTTGAATGCAATTATTTGTAAGCATTTAAGAGGTGACGGAATACCCACTCATCCATACATTATTGACAAACAAAATACAAAACAAATTTTTTATGCTATTTATGACAAACAAATTATACATATTTAATGTTAATCTATATTTGTTTAATTGATTGACATATGATTCCAATGTAAACANAAATATTAATAACACTTTATTTTGGTATTCATTTTCACATCAAATCACTTGTGATCGCAAACTGACAGACAATGAGAGCCACAGAGAGTGCACACCACTGACGGAATGGCCTTAAGATGCCTCCAATACACAGCACAACAGTAGAACACAACCACTGCTCGGCTCTCCTCTCAACCGCTCTCTCCCTCTCCTCTCAGCCCTCCCTCAGCTCAACACATACTGTATGCCAACACTCACTCATAGAGTACGGCATATTGTGACCCACGGTTGGCACCAAAAATGATCATGGTCGCTTGCGATCGCGATCACTTTTTACCATTTTAAATTACTATTTTATGAGTTTTTAAAATGTTTATAAATATAAGGATTAATAATTTTTTTCAAACATTAACGACAATGAAAAGTGTTTTGCCATTACTTGCCATTACATTATGTTGACGAAAGTAAGGGAAGTATGGGTTCAATGTTAGAGTGAATGTCATTAACCCAACGACTTCTCAAACCATTGAGTTTGAGGTAACGAAGAGATCGTCAAATATAATGCTTTTGATAATTATTGCCTTTCCTTCACTGCATTCATACATATATACTATGTTATCATTGAATACATTGATTGTCACGAAAATAAATTAGTAATCACTAAAGTATATCTACGGTTACAATACTGTCAATTGAATGACCCGGAGCCTAATGAGCGCACATCACATCACTAGCTATTTAAAAGTATTTTAGGCTAAAACTTTTAATAAAACTTTTGACAAGTTTTTCTGGCAATAGATGTGCTATTATTATAATTTTACAATAGTATTAAGTTATTTTTGTTTCATTTTAACCTTGTTCAATTTTTTTGCTGTAATTTTTAATGAATTTAATTTTCTATGTTTGTTTGAAAATTTATTGTAATCATTATATTTCCGATTTAAGACATTTAGAATAACAAACAAATGACTATATTTTGTATGTTTTCAATTAGTTTTATACAAAACATATTGTATTCGTCCCACGAATTCAAGCGAACAAAAGTGAATGTTATTTATTATTTCCGATTTAAGACATTTAGAATAACAAACAAATGACTATATTTTGTATGTTTTCAATTAGTTTTATACAAAACATATTGTATTCGTCCCACGAATTCAAGCGAACAAAAGTGAATGTTATTTAGAAAATCGTCAAACATTTCTATATTAACTCTTTATAAGTGTCTGCAAATAAATGTGAGTCTATTTAGAGAATACATACGAATGAGTGATTCATTGAATATTAATAAACAATGCATTATTCACTTCATCCCTCACTTTACGGTTGTGTTGTTGAGAGCAGTGATTCTGAGATAAACAACTTTATTATGAATTAGAGAATATTCTTTCAAAAATAATAACTATTCCTATAAAGAGATAATTGAATTTCAATCATAGGATTAAACGCATAATTTTACCCAATACTCACTTACAGTACTTCAAGAGATTATTTCAAAGGAATTTGTCAAATGTATTGAGAATGATTTTTATTAAAATTGTGTTTTAATGATCGCATTTACAATTGAAATGAAAAAATACAATTAATATTCAAACACATTGTTAAGTGATTTTAACAAATAATACGCGATTTTATAAATTAAAAACTTAATGATTAAATGATAAAAATTACAATATATAATGAAACGAATTGTACGATTCTTGGCATTAAAATCATATTTGTATATCATTTTAAAAGTTTTAAAATGATAACTGAATACGAATTCTTATAATACAGTATTAAATACAAAATCACTAACTTTGTTAGCATCGATTACAAACAGTTATCAGTCATATTTAAGTATATAAATACAATTAAAAAAACATTAAATAATACATATTTGTTAACAAATTAACACAAATTCTTTGGTTTTTTCAGCTGTATATTCAATGAATAATTTATAAAAATTATAAAAAACAGTAATAATTTGAAGTTTTTTAGACGAAGTCTTCTTTATCACGATATATATTCAATCTGTCGCTCAAATACTTAGTTCTGATTTCTAATTCAGTTATATCATAGCATTTATTGTCAATATTCCTCTGGAAAACGAAGTGACGCTGTTTTTGGACATCTTCTTCGCAGTCATTATTCTCTTCTTCCTCGTCTTCCTGTTCCGGTTCTTCTTCCTCTTCGTCATCACTGGTGGGCGGCGTATCAATGATTGGTATATTCAGATCCAAGTATTCCTACAAATGAATTATACAATCAAATAATGGTAAACGAGAAGCGGTTTAGTGGACACATACTTGTTGTGAATTAATCGATATAAAGTCATCCAAATCTTTGACGAGTTCGGGAAAAGTGGGCCTTTCGTATGACTTGTCTCTCCAACACTCTCTCATTATTGAGTATATCTCTTGCGGACAATTAGGCGGCGCTTCCATTCGTTCCCCGTTTTCTAATCGTTTGAAGAGCTCTTGCGCTGGAATTCCCGGATAAGGGGTTCCGCCCAAAGTCATGATCTCATAGAGAAGAATGCCATAACTCCAGACATCCGATTGGGATGTGTAGACCTGTCCTAACAGCGACTCAATGGCCATCCATTTGATGGGAAGTCTGCCATCAGTTGTCTTGCGATAGTATTCGCCCTGAATATTGCGGGCTAACCCAAAATCGGCAATTTTGAGAACATTGTCGTCGGAGACCAAGACATTACGTGCGGCCAAATCTCTGTGAACGCAGCGCTTCGACGCCAAGTACTCCATTCCTCTGGCGATCTGTTTATTAAAACAAGAATTTATTTAAAAATTTTTATTTTAAACAAAAGAAACGAGAATTTTAATAAAGTTTTTCAAAAGTAAACATTTAACTCACTTGAAAGGCATAATTGATTAAATCTAAATAAGTGAATGCCTGCATATCCTGTGCCTGTCCTATAGGCAGCTCATAGAATATATTGGAGTCCTGTCTGTGTTTACGCAAAAAATCCCTCAAATTTCCATTCGGCGCGTATTCAACGATCACATACAGAGGCCCTATATATCAATACATCCAACCATTCATTCCGTTAAATAAATAAACATTTTATTCGCCAAAAAGAATGCTTTTAAGCGAAACATAATGAATAGATTAGTTGTAATGTTAATTGATTTACCATTTTGTGTACAACAGCCCAACAAATTGATTATATTCTTATGCTTTCCGATCTTTTTCATCACTTCCATCTCAGACACTAAGTCTGTCATCTCGTCGTCGTTGTGAACGTCTTTAAGCATTTTTACGGCAACTATTGTTTTCATATCAATGGAACCGTTCAGACCATAGGCCTCGCCCTTTATTACCTGACCAAACGCTCCCTCTCCTAAAGGCTTTCCCAAAGTAATACTAAAGTATAACCAAACAAAATATTAATCGTTTAACAGACTTTTGCAGCATTCCCGATATGAATGGCATACCTATCTCTGGAGATCTCCCACTCGGGATCGAGTGGTAACTCGTACTGTGATGTCAAGCCGTTAAGCCGACAAATATCTGAATCCACTTCAATGGCCTGATAATCAATTTTAACCAACGGTGCGATCGAGTCGTTAGATTTGTCAGAATCGGGTTTCTCGAGAATAATTTTCTTTTTGATAATAAAACTCTTTTGCGCAGAAATGGTCACATTCTTCGGACGCCTGCATACAATACAGCAGCAGAGGAATGACCCGACAACAAATGTCGACACAATTAGCCCAATCGCTATCCAATGAGTATCCGAAGAGCGCATTACCTCAACAATAGGGTCGTCTAATCACAAATATTTTCATTAATATTACAGAATTTTAAGCGCTTTTATCGCTGCTATGCTTTTGTATTTTGAAATATATCTCAATTCTTACCCGAAATGACTTTAAGAGTAAAGTTCTTATAAGATATTCCGTAATAGTTTTCAACAACACATGAATAGTTAGCCGTGTCTTCAAATGTCAGATTATGAATGAAAAGCTCGTGAACACTTGTTTTCTCGTATTTCAGGTCAGTGTACTAATAGCCAAATAGTTTTTGATATAAGAATACACAGAATCGTTAATACATTTATAACTTCCCTGAAATGGTTTCATTAAATTCTTACCCGAAGATTAGTAATAATAGTTTTGTTATCGTCTGTAATCATTTTCAGCCAATCGACCACTGCCTCCATATCTGACACAAACTGACAGTCAAATATAGCCGTTTGGCCGACTGTTAACGTTTGATTCAATGGATATTCGTGTGTATTAAAAACGGGTTTGTGGGCCAAAAAATCTTTAATAAAATTGTACATATTTTTGTTTAAAATTCGTAAAACTAACAAATTATCTAAAGTGAGTATCACATGAAAAATGTCAAAATAATTACCTTTCACTTCAACGACAATCGTGTGATTTATATTTCCATTCCTGTTGGACGCGACACACATATAGTCCCCGCTGTCCGTCACCGCCATATTCTTCATCGAAAGACCCCATTTTCTAATTGTCATCTTTTCAGTCAAATATACACACAATTATAGTATTAATTAGGAATTTATGTGAACCAAAATGTCTCACCACTTCTCCATTCTCTCTATGCGTTCCGTTCAATAAAATGCCATTTTTATACCACTTTATGGACGGAAGTGGGGAACCACTGGACTGACACTTAAGCTTCAATTCATTACCCGATGGATGATGTATTAATGTATCCATTGAGTCCTCATTTGTGAAATATGGTTTTGCTGCAAACAATCGACTTATTGTTTAGATAATATACTAAATAATTAATTTGTGACTAAATATCTTACTCTCATATTTCGTATTCGTTGTTTGACTTAATTTCTTGGAAGCGGTTTTGGGTGATCTTAAAGAGTCTTCTATTTGTTGCCATTCAATGACTTTTAACGTATAGTTGACTCGAAACGGGTGTTTGTTGTGTAAAGCAATGCAGGAATAAATTCCGGAGTCGTTTAATTGAAGATCATTTACAGTCAATGTATAGTCATTTATGTGGTATTTTTTGTTGGCATTAATTTGTGTCTCATTTTTTAGCCAAATTTTTGAGTGAATTATGTCACCAGTTGTCCGACACTGAAATTTCACATATGTATTGACGAGTACTGTAAACTCAGTTGAAGTGGGGATCCATTGTATGGTATCTGCAAATTCAATGTTTCAACAAAACAATGAGTTTCGTTTAAATGGGGACCAAATGGGAGATAATTGTCGTTTTTTGCTTTCAAACAGTTTATGCATTCATTATAAATAAAATGTTTAATTAGTTTTAAAGAATAATTGGTTCAAAAGACTGTTTCTTATCTTTTTGAGTAACAGAAGTGTCAAAATGTCACAAAAGCTATTTAAAGATATGGTTTGAGAGCTGATTGTCTTTTTTTAGTTACCATTAGATTTACGTATAACTTATAGGAGAAAAGACGAGGCAAAACAATTCCCAGTACTCTCGGCCTCGACTCCGGTCTCACGTTTTGACAAATGTTTAAAGTGTTAAAAGAGATCGTATTTCAAACACTTAACATTGTCCTGATTCAAGTCAATTGATCCTTTGGTTTTTACTTTTCAATATTCAAATGCATATTATATGCACTCTAATTGTTTATTTCAGTAATTTGATTGTCAGCTATCACTAGCATTCAAAATCTAGCAAAAATTAACTTTCTAAAATAAACTTGAATAATTTGTGCAATATGTGCTCTCTCTCTCTCTCTCCAGGAGTAAAATATGTTTAGAAATGCCATTTGCTTTTGACTAACGGTAGTTAAAGTTAATTATACAGTAGTTCTCACTCTTAAAGGCTTCTGTTATATAAATAAAAGAAACATCTTTTCGTTTCTAATCATATTTTTTCTAATAATAGATTTGTTTAAAATATCAATTGAATAGAAAGCAAATGGATTTTAATGCAAACATACGAAAAGACATAAAAGTATGCATAATATTGAGTGTATTATACAGTGAAGTAAGAATAGCGCATAAGTTATGTATTAAAAGTGTTTGTTTGGGAACAAAACATCATTGGTTTTGTTCATGGGATTCAAGTCTTATGACCGACTCGTGAGTGCCAACAAAAACACACGTTTTATTCAAATAATGCAAAACATTCCCCGAAAACTGTTTGTCATTAATTTCTAAATCATATACTGGTGTGTAGTTTACAGTTAATAGTCTTCACACCCAATGCCAGAACAGTTCTCCTTCTCAATGGCTTAACTAGATTTTTGAGCCCAAAAGCAATTCAAACGATTACTGTTTAATCTTTCTCTCCCGAACCCCTCCCATCTTAAACCCTATTTTCAGTAGTATTGATATTCTCTAATAGAAAAATGCTAATTATTTCCCAACAAATGCCTAACTATTAAGCAATTCAAAGTAAATTGCAATAAGTTTTCAAAACGATTGTGTGCTTAGAGTTGAGCGCGCTTTTCATATAACTCCAGACCCACTCTTCTCTCCCAACTTTTCCCTATACTTTCGATAAACTATTTATATTCAAATTGTTTATATAATGATAGTCACAAACATTGTATACATAATGAATAAATTTCTGACATAAAGTCAAGCTCTAAATATAGAGAAAATAATCAAGAATTTGAAAATTTATAATAAAGTTATTAAACTCTTAAAAATCAAATAAATATAAGATATATTTTCAGTCATTTTTAAGACAATTTTAAGATAAACTCTACTCCAGTGTCTAATGTTAATAAGTTAATGAACAAAACACATGTCAAGTGTTATAGATTTGTATACATAATAGTTATACAAATTCCCATAACTGTATACGGAATATATTTATGTAAGTTTTAAAATTTCCAAATATTTATATAATAGTATTGATATTCTCTAATAGAAAAATGCTAATTATTTCCCAACAAATGCCTAACTATTAAGCAATTCAAAGTAAATTGCAATAAGTTTTCAAAACGATTGTGTGCTTAGAGTTGAGCGCGCTTTTCGTATAAGACTCCAGACCCTCTCTTCTCTCCCAACTTTTCCCTATACTTTCGATAAACTATTTATATTCAAATTGTTTATATAATGATAGTCACAAACATTGTATACATAATGAATAAATTTCTGACAGAAAGTTAAGCTCTAAATATAGAGAAAATAATCAAGAATTTGAAAATTTATAATAAAGTTATTAAACTCTTAAAAATCAAATAAATATAAGTTTTTTCAGTCATTTTTAAGACAATTTTAAGATAAACTCTACTCCAGTGTCTAATGGTAATAAGTTAATGAACAAAACACATGTCAAGTGTTATAGATTTGTATACATAATAGTTATACAAATTCCCATAACTGTATACGGAATATATTTATGTAAGTTTTAAAATTTCCAAATATTTATATAAAACTAAATAAATAGTATGAGATTCTGACCAATAACTAAGAAACTGATTAAACATTCCTTATCAAAGAAGACATATAAATATTTCATGAATGCATTAAATATGTATTTACATAATACTGTAAAGTATATAAAAGATAAAGTAGTGGCAAACAGACAGATGGGTATATCTTACACCTTACATATGGTTTACATATTATTTAACAGAATATTCAATATAACTCTTTATGTATGAATTTTATATAAACAACAAATACAAGAATTGGCTTAAATATGAACAAAGACAACAGTAAACTGAAAATATGTTTGAGTTACTAAATCAGGATAAAGACACCGATTCCTGTGTTATATTATTGTAAATTTACATGAAAACAGATCAGACAAATCATATCAAATATAATCCATTAAGAATAAGATTTTACTAATGATTACATATAATTTTATAATGACTTTCTCACTCGAAGCAAAGGATTAAGTCTTGAAATAATATCAAAAATGTTTGCGCGACAATAATGAATGGCAAATGTATGCTAAAAATAATACTTACTTTGAGTTTCATACACTGGAGAGCCATAAATCAAATGGAGATTTAAAGTCAGAATGAACTGAAGAATGAGAGACAGCTTCACAGCGTTAGAGATTGAAACCATATTTTCTTCACAACTGATTCTTCATTACTTGAAACTGAAGAATAAAAAAATCCAAAATAAATTATTTGGCCATAAATTTGGTTCAATATAAATATTATAAAATAAGAGACATTTTATAGATAATTCTTACATTTAGAGACAATCAATTCATTTAACAATAAATAAATATTTTTACAACAAAAAAATATTTTTGAGTATTTTTTCGCAAATACTGTAAATAACGCACAAAAGTATTCACATCTCTATTGAATTACGAGCTTTCAAATCAGATTTTTGTTGAAAATACATTCCCATAAGCTTTTAAGTGAGTTTAAAAAATAAATTTTAAAACACAAATAATAATCCCATATATTTTCACACAATACACAAACAAACGGATTGAATATAACGCGAGCGACTTCTTGGGGACACTAGTATTTGATGCATACAATGGACTTACAGTATGTGATTAAAAGCTAAGGACTGAACTGAAAAACCTTTTGGTTAGTTATTGGTAAGAGTGGACCACAAAATGCAAAGACCAGACCAACGGTTAGTTCGCATCTGCAGTCCATATGCTTTGGCAACAGTTTTATACGCGATATATAGCGCCCTATGAGTTGAGGCAAAACATTGGGCTCTAAAACACTTAAGAGAAAGACATCAATTGAGATCATCTTTATATCTATGGCCTCCTCTACTCTCCTCTGCTCTCCTCTACGCCTCCACTCTCTCACTCTCTCTACGGTTTGTATTTTGTTAAAAAAGAGAGGAAGCCTTATGTCCGGTCCCGGGGCTCAAGAATTAATGTCTACAATGTTGTCGTCAATTGAGGGACTGGTTGTGTCAGTCTGTGTCAGTGTTGGCACGCGCTCTGTGTCTACTTTAATGAATAGGATTCACATTTCTCTCTATCTTAATGCCAACTCTGTCTCTAAGAATTCATTTCCGTTGCAATCGCTTCATTCAATCTCACAATTTCCTGCCTTTATATTAAAATTAACGCATTTTTAATGGCGAACCGCAAAACGCGCGGATACTTTGCACGTGTTTTTTGTCACAATTTAATTTATAACAAATTATGCTTTCTTTACAATAATGTCAAGACTTTCCTTCGCTTTTTGGTCTCCAGATTTAGAAATTCAACTCAGAATCGGATACTCAGCGCCGGAAACGTGTTTTATATTCAATTTTATATTTCATTCATTCAGAATCCTTAAGAATATATATATTTTCGTCGCGTTTATAATTTGCATCAAACGTGGGGTTGTGTTGAATAGTGGTTAGCGATACTCAGGGGGCGGACGTTGACTATAAAACTAGATATTTATAGCAATATTATAATCAGAAAAGGTCTCTATTATGCGATCAGTTGTACGCGTTTTGAAGCATACAATCAAATGATGAAGTCTTAGAAAGAAATCATATTTTTTGTTCGCATTCATGAGATTAAGTCGACTACAAGTCGAGGGTTTCCAGAGTTTATTTTAGACTCAATTTCGAGTCTTTGCCAAAAATATTAGTTCAAGAATAACATTAAATCTAATGTAAGGCGATATCAGATAATTATCTCACAATCGATTAAAACTATAGTCAGAAATGCATATATAATAACATCTTATGTAAGAAAATAAGATTTCATATATTAATGTCATTAAAGCTTTTGTTTGTAAGAAATCTTCTTTTTGGACAAAAGTTTTTTTAAACAAATATCCCAAAATTGCAGACCATTTCCAAACAGATAATCAGTTCATTGGCGTCCAGTTATCCCCAAAAAAGTCAATTAAGTAAAAGAGTTGCGAGTGAATCGTGTCCTAAACTATGTACTAATGAACACTCAATGCAAAAGTGAAATATCATATTTCGATCATTTGTTCAAATCATTCAAACGTTTGGCGCAAATATGAAACTATTCGCTGAAATAGAGGTTCATATGGACTCGTGTTCACAATTTTTTGTATCTTTTCATTGCAAAAGTGAAATATCATATTTCGATCATTTGTTCAAATCATTCAAACGTTTGGCGCAAATATGAAACTATTCGCTGAAATAGAGGTTCATATGGACTCGTGTTCACAATTTTTTGTATCTTTCTTATACTCAATCTTCGTTGGGGTCTTCGCCTAAGACTGTGAATAGTGTTGTGAATGGACTGCAAATGAATGGCATTTTCACTCAAATGAATACACTTTTTACATAATCTCGAAGAAGCGATCAAATGATTGCATATATAAAACTCATTATGAATGACAGACCGCAGCATAAACTATATTACAAGTTCTTATCTATGATTCAAATACTGGTGTATTTAAGCTTTCAGTGAATCCAATCTCAAGATCTCTATTTAAAATAGATTATAATTCTGGGCTAAATATTTGAATAACTTTTGAAACCATAAATATATGGGTTGTTGTAAAAGACATAATTAAAATATACAATAATTGTCGACAACCAATGTCATGAAAAACTAAAATTAAAACTTTAAATACAATACAATTTATATAGAAAATAATTACATGAAAAGTTTTAAAATAATGGAAATTACAAAATTGCTTATTAAAAGCAACAAATGTTCGCTAATTATCGCTAAATTTATAACAACTTTTCATGGAATCTGTTGTAAATGAATTGAATTGTAAAAAATAAAAAGTTATATTTGGTGCTAACAA